GCGCTCTACCACTGAGCCATCTTCCCAGCCCCCTTGTTTTTTAAAAAAGTTTTAGTTTTACCCATATGCATACCATTAATTTATTTTCATTACTCTATGGCATTCCATTGTATGAATACACTAAACAAATTTATCTACTCTTTTGATGGGCATTTTGGTTGTTTTCATTTAGAAATTGCTACTCACCAGGCACTGGTGGCTCACACCTGTAATCCTAGATATTCAGGAGGCTGAAATCTGAGAATCATAGGTTGAAACCAGCCCAGGCAGGAAAGTCCTGTGAGAGACCCTTATTTCCTGTTAACCACCAGAAAATGGGAAGAGGAACTTTGGCTATAAGTATATCATCTCTAGCCTTGAGCAAAGCAGCTCAGCTATAGTGCCCAAGCCCTGAGTTCAAGCCTTACAACCTACAAAAATAATTGCTACTATGAACAACTTTGTACATGTTTTCATGAACATATATATGGGAGAACTTCTTTAATTGAATATTTCTATACACACGTTTAAAAATTACAGCTTTTATTTTGCTCAAAGGAACTATGGTCATCTGTTCTAATATTCTCAAACATATATATGGGAGAACTTCTTTAGTTAAATATTTCTATACACGCATTTAAAAATTACAGCTTTTATGTTGCTCAAAGGAAATATGGGTCATCTATTCTAATATTTTCAAACTCATTAGTGTTTCTGTGGCTTTCTAAACATTTACAGCTATCTACCAATATCACAAATTTGATCAAATGTCATCACAACAAATAATGGTTATAATGGTTATATTAATTTTCTATAGCCTTTAAATTTTATATACTGATAACTTGCAGATTCAAGGATGGAATCGGACATCCAATCAAATACTATTTTCATATGTGTGAAAACCTGATTGATCATTATACTTCAAAGGTTTTTTTTTTTAACTCTGTTAAAACAATTGTAACAGATGAATGTCTTTTCAAACTCTGTTTTGTTATTTCTTCTTGGGAAATAAGTCTGAATTTGTCAAGTGAGTGTTTTATTGGCCTTAACTTGAGGAATGGTAGGCTATAAACCTTAAGAATGTTTTAACAACTCATAAAGGAATAAAAACCCCAGTTAAAAAGTCTCTGATGATTGGAATCTTAAATACACTAAGACCCTCATTATGTTGCATCTGCTATTCCTTTTCAAACATAAAATATTCAAGCTCTCTATCATATTCTCTTCTTAAAGATGGTAAAAACCTCTGGGAATGTGGCTTAGTGGTAGAGTGCTTGCCTAGCATGCACCAAGGCCTGGGTTCGGTTCCTCAGTACTACATAAACAGAAAAAAAAGAAGTGAAGCTGTGGTTCAAGTGGTAGAGTGCTAGCCTTGAGCAAAAGAAGTTCAGGGACAGTGCCCAGGCCTGAGTTCAAGTCCCATGACTGGCAAAAAAAGGATGGTAAAAAACTTATTTGTTTGTGTATCTATTCATTTAAGTAGGTTGCTATGCTGGGTATCACAGGATAGTCACTCTACCACTGAATTATACCCCTAGTCCATGAAAAAAATATTATTAAAAAAATAGGGCCAGGTACCCCTGGCTCACACCTGTAATCCTAGTTAGGAGGCTGAGATTTGAGGATCACTGTTCAAAGACAGCCCAGGTAGGAAAGTCTGTGAGACTCCTATCTCCAATAAACCACCAGAAAACTGGAGTTGGTGCTGTGGCTTAAGTGGTAGAACACTCATTTTGAGCTGAAGAGCTAAGGGACAGTGCCCAGGCCCAGAGTTCATGCTCTTCGACCTAAATAAGTAAAGAAAGAAAGAAAGAAAGAAAAGAAAAGAAAGAAAGAAAGAAAGAAAGAAAGAAAGAAAGAAAGAAAGAAAGAAAGAAAGAAAGAAAGAAAGA